TGAGTCACTCATGTATGCCTTTTGTCCTGCCCCGGGGCCTAGGGGCCTGTCTCTGTCTTGGTGGGTCCTCACATTGCCCGCTTTTCTTCTTCCTCATAATGAGGAATTGTCCTCATTCCTATGAGAGGGTAGGGAGTGGTACTGTTGCCATNATAATGAGGAATTGTCCTCATTCCTATGAGAGGGTAGGGAGTGGTACTGTTGCCATAGTACCATTAACTGGATGGTATTAACCCTGTCTTTGACAAAAGATATGAGTTTGTTAAAAATGCAAGGACCGACAGTAAGTAATAGGAGTAGGATTATTAATGGTCCTGCTAAGGTTGAGATAAGGGTGGTTAGCCAGGGAGATTTATTGAACCAAGACTCAAACCAGCTCTCCTGGGCTTCCCATTCCCATTTTCTCTTTTCAAGCTCCTCTCTTACTTTGGCCATTGACTCTTTCACTACACCAGTGTGGTCAGCGTAAAAGCAGCATTCTTCTCCTAATGCAGCACATAGGCCCCCTTGTTGGAGAAATACTAAGTCGAGGGCCCACCGATTCTGTAAAACTACCTCAAATAGGGAGTTCAGAGACTCGGTAAGGTGGGAGATGGATTTCTCTATTCTGTCTATATCTTCATCTACGGCGGCTCTTAGGGAGCTTAGTCCCTGATGGTGAGTGGCTAGAGAAGCAATGCCTGTTCCTGCTCCCGCCAGCCCTAACCCGAATAGGGTGGCTATGGTGACCGCCGTAATTGGTTCGCGGCGCCTCCTTGGAGAGGCAGGGGGTTGGGGCCCCCAGTGAGAGAACATTTCTTCTTCTGGGTGATATAGTACTTTGGGGAGTACCACAACTATTACACAATACTCACTACTGGCATCAAAAACATTCTTGCTTAAACATGGGGTCAGCTCTGTTTTAGAACAAATCCACCATCCCCCAGTCACTGGTATGGTCCATTTAGCTGTTAGAGTGGTATTGACTGAGCTACATAACTCTTGCTTAGCTGAGGGAACGGTTCCTATACATATTCCTCATCCAGACACCTTCTGGAGGGTTAATCCAACCCTCCTGTCACCCCAGTTACACTCGGTAGGAGATGCATCCTCCGAGGTGGTGAATGTAGAATTTAAACCAACAGCTTTATAGAAAGGGGGTCGGATATCATAGCAAAGCCAGCAGGAGGTAGTTACATTTGGGTTGGAGGTATTCAGAGCGGCATAAGCAGTAGTTAGGAGCTCCCAAAGGGGCTCGTTCCTTTCTCCCAGGGTGGTGGTGGGGGTGGGAGTAAACTTAGACTCGCCTGTAGCTGTGGCTCTATCTGTCTGAGGCTTGGGTGAGGGAGTTCTGAGGACGGTTTTGCTTCTATTATGGGGAGGTTTTAGGACTAGATTTGGTCCTACTGCTTGCCTTCTCAGAGGGAGATCTTCCCTTTTTATGAGTAGTAACCCTCCCCTGTCTCTTCCGTTCTCCCAATTCCGGAAACCCCATGTCTTTCCCGTGGCCCATCCAGGGTCATTGGGGTTGGTGACATTTAGGAACAAGTACTGACAGGTGACCCTTTGGCCAAATGGGCTCCTGTAAACATTAATAGGAGTGCACCTGTATGGGCCCCATCCTACCTGGAGGAATTTATCTCTATTCCCTGGAGTCCAAGCTGTAGCTAAGGTTACACAGTCCCAATAAGCACAGTAGTATTCTCCAGGAGCATTGCAACATGTCCTTCCTGGATTACTGCTGAGGCATAGATAGTAGGCTATTTGATTGAGGCAAGGTTCAATCGGCGCTAGGTCGCACAGGTATGCTGTAAAAGCAGGGCCCCCCGCAGTTGTTACTGTCTGTATTACCTTCGTGTCTTCCCATCGGGTTAGAGTCCACTTATAGGGGGTATGAGGACTGGGGTTTGTAGCCCCCCAGTCTGTGAGCAGCGTTAGCAAAGTCAATAGTCTTCAGCCCGTTGTTTTATACATTCTTTCTGCTTATCTTAAGCTTCAGTGGGTCCTCTTGATGGGGCTCAACTCTCCAGCTGGTTCGGGCGTCCTCCTGTTCCCAGGCACTGGCCTTCCTGATGTGGGAGTGGTGAATCCAGGAACCTATACCGTCAACCTTGAGGGCAGTAGGGGTCACAAGAAGCACAATATAAGGCCCTTTCCAGCGAGGTTCTAGAGTTTCTGTCTGATGACTCTGCACCCATACCCAGTCTCCGGGCTCAATCTCATGTTTTGGGTCAGGAATCGGCTCCGAACCCCTATGTGCCACCCCGATGGCAGGCCAGATCTCCTTCTGGATAGCTTTTAATGCCGTGATGGCCTTTGTAAGCTTGGCGGATTCTGGCTGAACCTCCCCCTTGGGTTCTGGTCTGGTGGGGCACACCGGGGGGGGG